AAAAGAAATCTCTGGTTAAATAATAGGACAAGGTCATATTCCTAGGAATATTATATGCTGATATAATGATCAAATTATTCCTTCACATTTGATTTAGTGGGAATGTGGTTAATATGTACTTAGGGATCAGATGGCATTTTTTCCCTGCAAAAGCCATTTATGATTCCCAACAGATTTTGTTAATGAATGCCCTTCAGTTAGCAACAGCAAATTGCCCTGATGCCACTGTGAAATTGAAGAACTGAGAAGATTTGAATTAAAATTCTTCCTGGCTGCTTTGCAATCCAAGGTGGTAGCTGAAGGAGGATGTGTACAGTTTCATTTGAATCTTTGAGGAGATTCAGTAGATACAGAAAGTATTTGGTGACCACGAGAGTTAAAAATTATATATGTAGTGCAATAGTTTATGCTAGCTCTAAATGTTAGTTTCGTTTCTCTCTTAGAAGTCAACAGCCAGTTCAGAAGTTTTTGAGGATGGACTTGGAGTTCTAGTAGCTAGGCTAATTCTGGAAGTGAAATGATGGTAAACAGCACATGTAGGAGCTTTTACTTACAGTTGTGTATATAAAGTGGCTCAGAAAAATGCTATATAGCAAATATACAGCTACATATTTGATTTTACAGCTATTGTTACCTAGAATGAGGTGAAAGGACATGTTTAGGATTTTTTTAAAGTGTGAGGTAAGTTACAATAGTAAGAAGCGATAGTAGTGTGATGCCTGACCATGGCTGGAAGGTGGGTGCTGATGATGGACATTGGAACCAGACCTGGATGCGTCTTTGTCATCAGGATCAGGAGGCAAAGAGCCTATCTTTTCCTAGTTGTGCTGGGTTTTTTTTTTTTTTTTTTTTTGGGTCTTAATAACAAAAAACAAAAAGCCCTCTTAGGCATTTAGAATAAGCATTTGGGGCCAAAGGGGACAGAGAGAGAAGCATGAAATTTACTTTTTCTCTTCAATAAAATTAACATTGCTGTCAGTTTTTTCAATGTGATTTGTCAGAATAAATCTTTAACACATTACATGTAAATAAAAGAAAAAAAAGTCCCTATCATCCAAATGGATATTTGGATAATTTTATGAAGTCTATATTAACACTTCTTTTTTTTCTTTTTTCTTTTTTTTTTTTCGAGACAGAATCTTGCTCTGTCACCAGGCTGGAGTACAGTGGCGCCATCTAGGCTCACTGCAACCTCTGCCTCTCAGGTCCAAGCGATTCCCCTGCCTCAGCCTCCTGAGTAACTGGGATTACAGGTGCACACCACCAAGCCTGGCTATTTTTTTGTATTTTAGTAGAGACAGGGTTTCATTATGTTGGCCAGGATGGTCTCGATCTCCTGACCTCATGATCTGCCCGCCTCAGCCTCCCAAAGTGCTGAGATTACAGACATGAGCCACTGTGCCCAGCCAGCCACCGTGCTGGGCCTTTTTTTTTCTTTTTAATTGATGTGAGATTTATATAACATAAAATTAACCACTTAAGTGAACAAATTTGGGGCATTTAGGACAGTGTTAGGTAACTACTAACTGTATCTCGTTCTAAAACATTTTTATCAGCCCACAATAAAGCCCCATATGCATTAAGCAGTTGCTACCCTTTCCTCACTTGTCCCAGCCCCAACAAACCCCAGTCTGCATTCTATCTCTGTGGATTTGCCTATTTTGGAACCATACCATATGTGGCCTTCCATTTCTGACAACTCATTGAGCGTCGTGTTTTCAAGACTGGCATTTGTCAGTGCTTCATTTCTTTTTTATGGTTGCACAGTATTCCATTATGTGTGTGTACCACAGTTTATCTGCTCATCCATTGATGGACATTCAGGCTGTTTCCATCTGTTGACTGTTAATAGTGCCGTGTACATGTATTTGTTTGAGTATCTGTTTTTAATTCTCTTGGTTGTACACCCGGGAGTGGCATTGCTGGGTCAGATGGTAATTCTCTGTGTAGCTTTTTGAAGACCTGCCAAGCTTGTTGCCACTGTGACCGCATGATTTTACATTCCTACCTATCAATAATGCACAAGGGTTCCAGTTTCTTCATCCTTGCCAACACTTGTTATCACTTGCTATTTTCCTTTAAAAAAACAAAACAAAACAAAACTGTAGCTATCTTAGGAGGAATAGCTTAATTTTTGACAGAAGTAAATACCAAGGTTGTTAAATTTTTAAGTTCTGAATATTAGAGGTAATGGTTACTGTAGCTCCTAAAATGCACATCACATCTCTGGAAGGTGCTGGAACCCTCATGGTACTGCTGCTTTTAATTTTGCTTTTGGAATGTTTCCTTGTAGCTGAAGCTTTGGTGATGAGAAGTTGGGAATACCCTCATTGACCTTTAGTGTTTTGTCCTGTGATATATATCAAGTCTCTTAGTTTGACATTGTTGAACTTACTTCCTAAGCAAAAAACAACAGAAGAAGAAAATCCAGAGCATGTAGAAATTCAGAAGATGATGGATTCCCTCTTCTTAAAATTGGATGCCCTCTCAAACTTCCACTTTATCCCTAAACCGGTAAGTGTGTTTACAGTTCAGTGTGTAGCTAGAGCAGGGTGACCTTCATAGCTTTGATCCTTTGTGAGACTAGCTCTTTATTTTGTTTCAGGATACAAACTTGTAGTAATTTCCTGTAAATTCCAGGCAGGGTCTCCATGAGGAAGGCTCAGTTCTGGTTCCATGACAGTTCTGGCTCTACCCAGATCTTCAGTGAGCCCCTGCCAGCTGGGGCTGGCATGGTCAGGCATCCCACTACTACTGCCTCTTACTATTTTAACTTACCTCACACTTTAAAAGACCCTCAGCCATAGCCACAGGGGCTCCTCCCTTCTCTACCCTCTCAGTCTTGTTGCATTTCATTGTATAATGGGTTTGGAGACGTATGGATATCTATACCCAGCATTTATGGAGTATCTGCTATGTGTCATATTACATACATTAATAATATGTATGTGTCTTTACATACATTAACACTTAATGCACACAACACTGAGGCAGGTACTATAGTTTCCATTTCTCAGGGGAGAAAACCAAGGTTTAGGAGGTGGGAGGGTGAGAACTAACTCTGGGCCCATGCTGTCTCCGCTGCATGATGTTCCCTCACCAGGCCCAACCCTCTCAAATGCTCCTCCCCTGTCTGTCTGTCACCCAGACTTGGCTCTACCTGTCTACTCCTTGGAGCCTCATCTACTCACCAGCTTCTGTGAACCCATAAAACATGCTTGTACCATCCTTTGGTACTTGTTCACATGTTGCCCTTTGGTGCCTGTGTTGTTGTCTGAAATGGAATGTCATGAATTAAGGACTAGTCTAGAAGTCAGAACCTGAGTTGAGTTCTGCTCCTAACTGGCTTTATGATACAGGCAATCACTTCACGTTTCATCTGTACAGAAGAGCTAATCTCCAAGATCCTTTCTTATTAGTTGATGGCTAGGTGATTTTTTCCCATGCAGATATTTTGTCTTATCAGACAATAAGCTTTTTTACCTGTTTTGTTTCTTTTTTTTGGTGTATATGTATGCTTTTAATCCAGTTGTAATTACATGCTAGTAAGTTTTTGATGGCAGGAGCCATCTTTAGATTCCCAAAGTCCCTACTCTGGGTTGTGTGAAATAAACAGGTGAAGAGATGAGTGGAATTTCTCAATTCCTCTTGCCCAGCAGGTCTTACTGAGGTGAAGGATGTGTGCCCTTTCTGGGCCTTACCTGTGTAATCTGGCTCTTCCCACCCCTTTGGTCTCCCTTGGCTTGCTACCCCCACCCCCACTGATCTTCTGATTCCTTCAGCAGGCCAAGTCCCTTGCGCTTTCTCGCTGTGCTCTTCCCCCGGCCCAGCAGGCTGCACTTCCTTTTTGGCATGGCTGGCTCCTTATTGCCCAGGCTAGACGCCTTCCCCTCCTTGCAGATGTTCCTTGGCTCCCTACCTAGGGTAGACTGCCCTTCCCGCCTTGCTGCATGTCTCACCACTCGGCTCCTTTTCCTCATAGTTGCATTGCACATTTGCAGGCATTCGCTAGTTGTTCATTGCTCTCTACTTGTCTTCAGGCAGCACAAAATGCATCTACTGTTCCACTCTGTTCCTTGCACTAGCTAGGATCTAATGCAGGGAAGCAGTTAGACATTCCTTGGAATATTGGGAAGTGAAGGAGAAGTGAATGTATTTGTGTCTATGTGCCCCAAATGAAAAGCCTTTCTTTTTTCCCATAAGAAATGTAGAATTGCTAGTGTAGGTTCTCTTTGATACTACTTTTTTCATGTTCTGGTTGGTATTTCACACACCATCTCTGTAGACTCCATTTACCAATCACAGCTATCATTTTTTGTGGCTTTTTTTTTCCCTTTTTTTTCTTTTTTTTTTTTTGAGACAATCTCACTCTATTGCCCAGGCTGGGGTGCACAATCTTGGCTCACAACCTCTATCTCCTGAGTTTAAGCAATTCTCCTGCCTCAGCCTCTCGAGTAGCTGGGACTACAGGCATGCACCACCATGCCCAGCTAATTTCTTAGTATTTTTAGTAGAGACGGGGTTTCACCATGTTGGCCAGGCTGGTCTCAAACTCCTAACCTCAAATGATCCGCCCGCCTCGGCCTCCCAAAGTGCTGGGATTACAGGTGTGAGCCACTGTGCCCAGCCTTTTGTGGCTTTTTGGACTGTCTTCTTTTTCTCCGTATTTCTCTTTAAATGCTAGAATGGAATACAGTGTTTTTAGTAACAGTTGAATGGTGGTCCAGTAGAAGAAATGATTTCTTTCACACTCTCATTTTTCTCTCACTTAGAATCCAGGATCCTATTATGTTTATGGCTTTTGTTCTTTGTGAAGTTTCCTTGAGCAAATAGCTCCATGGACAGGATGGTGATGAGGAAGAAAGAATACTAATGTAATTGCAATACATAGTCACCATTTTAATCACAGGATCAGTATGAAACCTGTTTTAATTACTGGATTTCTTGGGTAGTTCTTTCAAAAAAAGGCAAAAATCTGAAGCAGATGGTCCTTCAATTAACATTGCATCCTTTCCCCCTTTTTGTAATTGATAGCTTTGATTTATTTTGATACTGTTTTAGTTTTTCAAAATAGTTCAGTATTATTTCATATTTATGTTTATGGAGATGTTTTCAGTAGTTGAAAGATGAGGAAATTTATCAGTCGTCTGGTTTTGACTCTTGTTCCCATAAATGTCTTTCCTTGCATCTTTTTCCATATACTTCTTAGAGCTAGCGTTTTTTTCTGTAAGCAAAGTCAAGATAATAGAAATCAGCAAATCTTACCAAACAGCATTGATGGTTGTTTGAGAATGTCCACATGCATGGTGGATAGGAATAGTAGAGGAAGAGATGGAAGAACTGATGTTTGAAGATGGCAGAAATGTTATGGAAAAATGTAGAAATACGTGCTGTTGGAATGGTTTTGAGACGGAAAACCCTAAAATACCCAGGTCTCTGGGATCCTGAAGCAGTGCCACCCCTCAGCACTGCCGTCATGCCAGTCCACTTAGGACTTTGGCTGTTACCATATCTAACGTTTTAAATAGTCTCCATTAGGTTTGCTGACTTTGAAGCAAGTGAAAAAAAAGATAATCTCCATAAAGTATTTTATATATTATACTTTAAGTTAATAGGTTCACAGTTCACACATTTTGTGCGAGAGTCCCTTCTGGCTTCCCATTGAATATATTATCTCTTTTCTAGCCTGTACCAGAGATTAAAGTTGTGTCAAATCTGCCAGCCATAACCATGGAGGAAGTAGCCCCAGTGAGTGTTAGCGATGCAGCTCTCCTGGCCCCAGAGGAGATCAAGGTAAGAAGTCAGTGTTGAAATGTCTGTTACAAGTTAGTTGATTTTAGCCGGACTCCATTTATTTAATGTCATTTGTCTTGCATTTGTAGTTCTTATTCCAGCGTATCTCAGCAGTTTCTAAGTATAAGCAAACTAGTAATGTTACAATATTCAAATACCAGTCTCCTATATTGTGGCTTTATTATGAGGTACAGTTTGAGAGTTACCATAAGAGCAGTTTTAAAATAGCTAGTATCAATATCTTGTTATAATCCAATCCAAATACTAGCAGTGATACTAAGTTTAAAACAAATTGCTTGCATTGCGTATATACTAGCAATAGTTTAGTATCAGCATTTCCCCCTTATTTTATTCGTGTAATGCTAATTAGTAATGGAATCTGAATCTAGAATTGAGCATTTGGTTATCAAATGCAACAATCGCTGCCATGTGAACACTGAAGCTCATGCCTCACATAGTAATAATGGTTTCTGCCAGGTGCTCATCTTCCTGGCTGGCTTAGCAGCAGGGCCTTCCTTGTCCCTCCTCACTTGATTTGCTACACCTACACTCACCCCTTCTGTCTGAGCCTCTGCCACCTCAGTGCTGGTGACAGCCCTGGCAGGATAGACTGGCAGCTGAGGAGAAAAGAGATAAAATTGATCCTCACTAGAGAGATGTTTCCCTTCCCTTCCTCGGTTCTTTGGTCTCTGCCCTCTGTTCTCAGTCCAGTTGCTGTCATTAGCAGCTCAGAGCTGAGGCTGCCTCTGGCATGTCCCTGAAGCCCATTGGACTCTAAATGCTGTGGAGGGCTGGCTCCTCTTGTGCTGATAGGTTGAAAACCCAACTCTCCATGTTGCCTTCTTGTGAATTAGTTTAGGAACTGAACCGTCACTATAAGAGTCTGTGCTGTCAGAGAATGCATTTCAGGTTTTAAAGAACTGAGTTACCAGTGCTCACTGGAATGTAGGTGGGGATTGCTCTACATCTTCGTGCACTTGGCCACAGACGCACAGCCTGCTCCCTAGGTACCCTGCAGTTTCTTCCATTCCAGTTTCCTAGTTGTTAAACTTGATTAACAAATATGTTGGTGGTTATTTTTTTAATAGGAGAAAAATAAAGCTGGAGATATAAAAACAGCTGCTGAAAAAACAGCTACAGACAAGAAACGAGAGCGAAGGAAAAAGAAATACCAAAAGCGTATGAAAATAAAAGAAAAGGAGAAGCGGAGAAAACTGCTTGAAAAGAGCAGTGTAGATCAAGCAGGGAAATACAGCAAAGCAGTAGCTTCGGAGAAGTTAAAACAGCTGACCAAAACTGGCAAAGCTTCCTTCATAAAGGTAAGGACAAGGGAAAGAAAATTGCTCAAGGGGACCTTTGTGGGGGAAGTGGATAGCAAGCACTGGGTGACTGGAATGTCTGAGCCAGCCGACAGCCCACCTGCGGGATGGAGGCGCATGATGCTGACGGCTGGAATCGCAACCTTTAATGTTCTGGGGTTTTTCATGTAGGGTCCTCACAATAACCTGGGTACTGGCAGCAGTTTGTCTTTCACTCCTTTCTCTGTTAGATTATAAGAACGTTGTAGCAGTATGGAATACCTCTATGCTAACTGATTTAGTTTTCTGTAATTCTAGTCCTTTTTTTTCATATTTATGGTTGTATATGTTGTTGTAATGGTGATTACTATTTTTGGCTTTTTTCACTTATAAGTACATTTTACAGCATAAGCATGTGTTGTTTTTAATTGCAGAATGAAGGTAAAGACAAAGCCTTAAAGTCCTCTCAAGCATTCTTTTCTAAATTACAAGATCAAGTAAAAATGCAAATCAATGATGCAAAGAAAGCAGAAAAGAAAAAGAAGAAAAGACAGAATATTTCTGTTCATAAATTAAAACTGTAATATATTTTGAATATAATGTAAATATTAATGTGTAAGCTTATGTTGTGTCATTGTTCTGTTTTATAATACAATTCTTGAGAACCTTTCTTTACATTGGTGACAGATATTTGAGAGTTCCATAGTGTGAAAAGACAAACTCCTGCCTGTTTGCAAAGTCCTTCCGGTTTCCATTGGTGTGAAGCAGCACCTGGCTCCTCCCTAGGCCCTTCCTATTCAGGCACTGCCTGAGCTGATCCTGCTGTGCTCTTGCCATGGCCCAGACCTGTGTGAGGGCCAGGCCAGCTTGTCCATATGGGCTGGTGTGCAAGCACTGGCCTGCAGGCTGAGAAGAGGACAGAGCCAGCCAACCCCCTCACAAGCAGCTGTCTACAGCAGAAGTCCTCACTCTTTGGGCTCTTAATTTCCTTCTCCCATTGCCCTGTCATTTCATAAAACAGTAGCATTTTCATGCCTGTGCCTTACTTCCTTCCCCTTTGGGAAATGATCTCATGTCATCTGAACAAAGGTTTAATGTAGGCTGTAGAGCCCTATCCACAGTCAGCTGCAGAGGACAGGTATGATGGAGAAGTGAATCTAGAAGCAATAGAAGCTCAATACAGCCAGGAATGTAAACTGTAGTCTGTAGAGTGTTCTGTGACCACCAGGTGCTCATTGTTTCAACCTCCCCATCCAGGGAAAAATGCCTTTTGTCTAATAGGCTCTCATATGGATTTGATGGAAATGCAGTAAGCCTTAGTCCAGATGGGTAGAGAATGTGGACTAAGATTCCACCAAAGCAACAGGTAAAGCCCTTCTGATTTTTTATCTACAAGGGGTCAATCAGTGGTCAAGAAGAGCCTGTGGAAGTTTGCAGTCTGCATTCCTGTTACTGCAGAAGATGGCTACAGCAGGGTGGAGCTAAGCTGTATGGGGCTAAATTAAGCACTGGCTTTTGTCCATTTGTGCTGCGGTAACAGAATACCTGAGACTGGGTCATTTATAAACAACAGAAACATTTCCTGCGGTTCTGGAGGCTGGGAGGTCTGAGATGAAGATGCTGGCAAGTTGAGTGGTAAAAGCTGCTCTGCTTCAAGGTGGTACCTTGTTATGTTCTCACTTGGCAGAAGGTGGAAGGACAAAAAGCCACCAAACTCCATCAGTCTTTTTATAAGGATGCTGGTCCCATCCGTGAGGGCTCTGCCTTCAAGACTTAATCATCTAAAGGTCCTACTTTTTAATATCTCATTGGCCATTAAGTTTCGGCACGTGAATTTTGAAGGACACATTCAGATCATAGCATAGCATTCCACCCCTGGTTTCTCAAATTCACGTTCTTAACACGTTCATTCCATTTAAGTCCAAAGTCTCCTGTAAACGTGGGTAAGACCAACTCAAGGTGTGTTTCATCCTGAGCCAAATTTCCCTCCAGCTGTCAAACAAATTACATGCTTCCAGAATACAACAGTGGAATGGGCATAGGATAGATACTCCCATTTAAAAGGGACAAATAGGAAAGAAGTAGCTTCGTCCCAAGTAAGTCCAAAACCCACCAGGGGAAACAACATTTAATCTTGAGGCTTGAGGATAGTCTTTGACTTTATGTCTCACCTTCCAGCCACACTGGGGTGAGGGTTGGGTCCCCAAGGCTCCAGGTGGCTCCACCCCCATAGCTTTACTGGGTGAAGCCCATGCCCTGACTCTCACTGGTTGGAGTCCTGTGCATGCAGCTCTCCCGGCCTGGCATTGCACACTGGTGGCTCTATAGGTCCAGGGTCTCAGGGGCAGCCCTGCCCCAATGGCTGTGCTGGGCATTGCTTGGGAATGTGTTCTCTGTGGTGACCCTGCCCCATGGCATTTCTCTGCCTGCATCTGATGCCCCTCAGTCCTTGACATACATCACTCACTTGGTTTTCTGGCTGCCAAGTCTCTTTTCCTCCTCCTCCGCTAGCTCAGTCTCCCTTGCAGGCTCCTTCTTACTGCCCTGCCTTTTGTTAATGAAATGCTTAGTCTTTTGACTTCTTAGTTATCTATCTACAGTCAATCCTTGGTCCCATGTATTGATACCATTTAAACCCCAACAACTCCCAAATTTATATTTCCAGTCTGACCTGACTTGATTACATCAGTTCAAGGGTTTTCATCCACAAGAATGTCTACGTGGTATCTCACATTTACATGTCCAAAATTGAACTCTTACTCTTTCCCCTCCATCCTGCCAGTTGCTAGGCTAAAGGCCTCAGAGTTTCCCTTGACTCTTCTTCTCTTGTACCTTACCACCTTTACCATGAGTGAATCCTGCTGGCTCAGTCTTCTAAATGTATTCAGAATATAACGATTTCTTATCAATGGCAATGCCAACACCCCGACCCAAAATGTTATCATCATCTCCCGTTGGATTACTGCCTCAGCCTTCTGTTTTCCTCGCTCCCTCTCTTGCTTCCACCCTAGTGACCCCGTGATCTACTCTTAATGCAACAGGGAAAGGGGTCCTTTCAGAGCTTCTGCTCAAAATCTTTTTCTCCCCTCCTCCCATCTCACTCAAAGTCGATGCTCAAATCCGTACAATGACCTGCAGGGTCCTACATCAGGTGCTGGCAATCAGTAGCTGGATGGCAAGTTAGCCAGCTGTTTTTGTAAATAAAGTTTCATTGGAACACAACCACACTCATATGTTACGTATTGTCTATGGCTGCTTTCACACTACAATAGCAGTGTTCCCTAGTTATGATGGAGGCCACGTGACCCCCAAACCTCAAATATTTACTATCTGGCCCTTCACAGAACAAATTTGCTAACGCTTGCCCTCTGTGATCTGGCTCTGCTGCCTCCCTCGCTTTCTTTCTGCTCCAGTCTTCTGGGGTCTCCTTGGTGTTCTTAGAGCCCGCTAGGCAATCTTCCACCTCAGGGCTTTTTTTTTTTTTTTTTTTTTTTTTTTTTTTAGTCAGAGCCTCACTCTGTCGCCAGGCCAGGCTAGAGTGCGGTGGCGTGATCTTGGCTCACTGTGACTTCCATCTCCTGGGTTCAAGCGATTCTCTTGCCTCAGCCTCCTGAGTAGCTGGGACTACAGGCGCATGCCACCACACCCAGCTAATTTTTTGTATTTTTAGTGGAGATGGGGTTTCACCATGTTAGCCAGAATGGTCTCAATCTCTTGACCTTGTGATCCGCCCACCTCGGCCTCCCAAGGTGCTGGGATTACAGGCATGTGCCACCGCGCCTGGCCCATCTGTCTTTCAAAAAATGTTTTTAGTTGGAGGTATAATTTATATTCAGTGAAATGCACAGATTTGAAGTGTACATTTTGATAAGTTTTAACAAATGCATTACCCATGTAACCTACCTCCTTTCAAGATACAGTGCATTTCTATCATCCAGAAAGTTCTCCTGTGCTTTAATCCTGTCCAGCACTCCCCCAGCAGCTGCTGAACGTGCCTGAGGACATTGGTACAGGACTCTGGCCTCCCCAAAAGAGCTGCTTGGACAAGTCTGCTTGGCTTACGCTAAATCCCAGCCTGCACTCTAAAAATTTCCATCCATCTTTAAACTGGTTGTACCTATAACCCTCCTTCATCAAATAAATAAACCCTGAAAAATAGGAGGACAATACCCCTTCCTGGCCCAGCAGCCCAGGACCTAATATTTACTGTATACCTAAGCTTTTAGAAATACGATTCACATGGGTAGGGGCTGGCGGCTGCATCCCCTCCTCCTCCTGGTAGCCCCTATCAGCCTAGAGTTTCCGCAGAGCAGATCTAGCCAGGCAGCCTGAGCCTGGAAGTGCGGCGGAGCCTCCTGCTCATTCACCCTCACTAGGGTGGCAGCTGCACAGCAGCAACTGGGCTCACCCATTAAGCAAGAAGCCATTGTCTGGAAAGTGACACTCAGACCCCAGCCTGGGCAAGCGTGTCTGAAAGCCCCGTTTCTTCCAGTCCAGCTGTGGAGGGAGGGGGCAGAGCATACAGGATTCTACTGCCCTCCCCATCCTTTAGCCGCCCTTCCTCCTGGGAGAGAGTGCCACTCGTTAATTGGCCAAAGCCTTCCTGAGGGCTGTAAGTTTGACAGGCTGGGTGTGTGTGGGCCAGCCATGCTAGACAGACAGGCTGGTGTGTCAGAAGGCAGCCACCTGGCCAGAAGAGGGTCAGCCCCCTTGGTGACCTCCTTCCCCCGGCTGGACACAGCGTCCTGCCCTCTCCCCACGTGAATGCTCCACTCAGAGCTGCTTCCAAGGGCAGGGTTCTAACCCTGTGAGTGGGGACACTGTGTTAGTTTACAATGGGCCACGGTTTCCTCTGACATCTCCAACTCAGAGGCAGTAGAGAGGAGAAGAGAAATTCCCTGCACCTCCTCCCTCCTCAGCACCCCCACCTCTGCACACGTCCACATATGGAGAGCCTAACAATGGTCCCTGGGAGTGTCGCCATCTGCTTCTCCTTTCCATGCCTGCAGCAGCTATGCCCACCGTCCAGACCCTCACCCGCCTGACTCAGTAGGCGCTGCACTGCCTCTGGTCCTGCCCCTACACCTGGTCCTCTGTACCCATCAGTTCCCCCAGTCTGATTCTTGTTTCCCCCAACAAGTAGGGAGCATGTAAGGTCATCTGTTGGGTTGGGGGAGAGAATAAGGTGGGCCTGTGAGGATGAGGAGAAGCTTATGGTTGTGCTGGACACTCAGCTGACAGGCGCAGTGGTCATCCCGCTCCCACCCTCATTTCTTCTTTGTTAACAAAACCTTGACTTCATTAAATATTGGACACCTATGAACTTCATGGACCCTTCTGCAGCCTCCCTGCCATGTAATGGTAAGTCTAAGTCAATCCTAGTAATTTCATTCCTCTGGCCAATGATTGCTTGGGGTGTGGGCATGAGCTGCCTCTTCACCTCAGCCTGAACCACAGCTGCCCTCTGCACTTACCGTGCAGACACACTGGGCCAGGGAGAGCTCCATCTTGATGGAGATGAGCTGTGAGGGCCTCTGCTGGTGGCTGGGTGGATCAGGTAGCTATAACAGGTTTTGTTCAGAAGGTCATCCATCAGCTTCTCCTCAGCATTGGCCATGTGGTAGTCCCCTGGGATAACACACAGACCTGCTGTGCCCTTGTGCAACTGC